TAAATTAAAAAAAAGATCATTGACTAGAGAGCTGCAAGTCCTCTCAGACCCGGCTGAATCCGGATCCATGATTTTATTTTTTCGAGTTTCGGTCCAACCTTTTGATTTTTTGTCGAGTTCACTTACACGTTTTTGTGGACCCGCTGCTTCCCAGATGAGAAATATAGCAACAAGATATAACATTATGTTGAGGTTTTTTTTTTGCGAGTAGAGAATAAATAACTAAAACCTTGATCCTTTATTTGTTCATGTACATAAAGCGTGCCAGGTATTAATGGAAAAAACCTCAAGTTTGGGCCTGGCTGAGTCCGATCGGGTTCGAGTCGAAAGTTTTAGTCTTTTTGAGACCGGGTCCACAAAAACGGGGGCCCGCTGCTCCCTACCATAGACTTCTTTGTTGTTATCATATGGAACTGCTCTTAAGGGGCTAGAAGAAAAGCAGTAGTGACTTGTGAAATAGCAAAATAAACTTTTGATCGTATACTTTCACTCAATACGTTTTTCAAAAGGAAAAGAACATGTATAAATCATAGCTGCAACGCATGCAAGACAACTACTTTTGTTCAGTTCTATATTATTCTCTGTTGTAGTTTTTCATCATCTCTAAATCAATCATCAACTTGTGATTATCCATGGTTAATACAATCATCTTCAACATATCCTCCTCAATCAATGTCACCATCATCACCATCAAAACGTTTAAAAACAATGATCGATTCATCATATTTAAAATCTTTAGAACTTGCTCATGAACTTTTACTTTTTCCATTTGTTGCATTTACACGTACATCAGTTTATTCAAATTCAAAATTAAAACGTAATGCTGCATATCTTGATTGTGTTATTGAAGAATTAAAAAAATATCAACTTATTATTATTGTACGACAAGGTGTACAAATGGTTGATGGTACACGACGACGTGTTGATCTTATTGTTAAATGTGCACCTATATTAAAAGACAATGAAATAAATAATAATGAAATACGTGATAAAGATCTTATAGAACGTTTAAATCGTTTTGGTGTTGATTATGATCGTTATATTCAAACATTAGGTACACTTGATATTGGTGAAAAATATCGTTTATCTGAACAATGTTTTGATTTATTAAATTCATCGGATTATAAACGATATTTAACAATTGATCTTGATCGTATAGCACCATTAAATCGAGTACAACAGCAACAAGAAGAAACAAATGATTTATGGATTTCATCATCATCATCATCATCATCATCAAATATAAAACTTGAATCAACAGATTTTCATGTTTAAACAAAAAAAACAATGAAAAATTTTCGTTCTCAGATAAATATCTTTCTCTCTTTTTTTTCTATTAAAATAAAAGAATCGTAAATTTATGTTGCTTTTTTATCTTGACACATTATTTGAATATTAAGTCTTTGAGAATGAACAGATTTAATTTGTTTTAATGATAATAAACAATTATCAATTAATTTAAATTGTTCATAAAATGTTTCTTCAACTTCAAATTTACTATTCCTTTGATGACATAAACGTATTTGTAATTTCCAACGAATTTGATCATTATCATCGTCATCATCGTCATCATTTTCTGTTGATATTGTTAATGGACTAATAGGAATTTGACGCATTAATTCAATAAGACATGTTGAAAAGATTGAATCAAGTTCAGCAAATAAATAATTTCCATTTGTATGAATTGTATTTGATGAATGTTCAATAATAGGATGTAATTCAATAATATATCGACGAAGAATTTCATTTTCATTATTCGTTGTTATAACAAAACCTATTTGATCAATTAATTGTTTATGAAGTAAAGATTTTATTTGATTAAGAAAATCTGATATATAATTTTGTATTTCAATGTCATGACATTCATAAACAATTAAATTATATTTTAAACGTTTTTCAAATATATCTATATGAATATTTAAAAAAAAAGAAAGAAAGATATTATATAGAAAAGAAATATTTATCAAACCATTGGAATAAATTTGTTCAATATAGAGAATAAAATTAATAGCAATATCCAGAAATTCTATACAACGATTTGTTACTTCATCACGAAGATGTTTTTCTGTCACACGCATATCTAAAAAATAAAACGATTATTTGAAGAATTATTCAAAACAATCTAAGGATTGTGCAGTGTTGGTGTAAATATTGAGTACTGAGCCACTGACACATGTGTTCACTGCAACATTAAGATACCGACTCTATTAAAACACGCTCATTTTGTAGCGGTCTGTTCCAGTGATCGATGTAGTCAGTGTGTACTAACTACACTGAGATAGTAGTCAGTAAACGAAAACTATAAATCTTTAAATCAACTTGAATTGATGTTTATACTCATGTTCTTATCACTAAATTCAGTATTTATTAAGAAAATAAATCGAATACAGTATAACCTCTCTATCATGAACACCCTTCGCATTCTTCAAAAGTGTTCACTATAAGGCGGCTAGATCTTTTCGAAAAGGAAGGACTAGTCGCATTTTCTTAATAGTGAAGAATCTTAATGAAGAGAAAAAATTAATAATTGTTAAAATATAATAAAATCACCTTGTCACGAACACCGTTGAGACTTTTCAAAAGTATTCTCCATTATGGGCAGTGTCCACTATCACTATGTGAAGTTTTACTGTAATTCATTAGGAATATGACCAGTGTTTTATCCAGATTTTCTGTTGTGGAGGGCATATACCTATTTTTGGGAAGCATAGACATATAATATGTAGTACAAGAACCAAAAGTCTTCGGAGGATCGCTATTCCCACGCTAGATAAAACACTGAATAAAATTGAATTTAGGAGGATTCCAAGCAGTGGGAGCGACTCCGGTCTGCAGAATCGACCCACCGGTGCCAACAGGCGTACGGGAAAATTTTAGGGAAATTGTTGTCTACATGAAAAATTTTAAACCTTGGTTTATTTTGTGATAAACTGTTTCTGAAATGATCAAACATGAAGACTAGCAGTGTTATTTGATGATTAGTGAAACTAATTTATTTTTTACATAGTATTATTTTGTATGTGTATTATTAACTTCAGCTAATACTCTATTTATTTGTGAAAAACAACACGAAAGAAAACAAAGCTCTCTTCTCTTTTTTAATAAGATGCTTTCATTAATTAACACTATCCCATTCTTTTTATGGTTCCGACGAGATGGTTTAATATCATTGTTGTGTGGATATAGAATTAACATATCACAATGTACTAAATCTAATGTCACTTGTCCTTTGGCATTGTGTAACTGATATGTTTCTAAAATTTTGTATGAACTTCATCAACAGTAGTAGCCTTGTTTCTCTCTCGTTTTTTTTAATATATATATTTTAAAAAAAATACTATTTCGTTTACTTTGACAGTGAAGAAAATTTTTCGTTTTAGCTATAGACTCGGCACCTCTGGTGAATCTCTCATCTTGAAAAATTTTCATTTGTCTTTAGCGATTTATTCAATTAGTCTAACAATCTGTTCTCATTACTACTGAACTTCTACGATGAAAGTATTATTTAGTTCTATTGGAAAAAAACTCATTTCATTAATCTACTACATAGTTTCCTATTAAAAGTAATTCATAAACGTAGGCTTAATGAGAAATTACGTTTTTTAATTTCTATCATAATTATCTTAAGTATATGGTTAGCATAGATGAATTTTAAAATTTGCATAATTAATCTTTTAATGGAAGTTGATATAAGCATTTTTATCTAAATTAAGAAAAGAATTTAGAAAATATTTTTGATTAATACTTGGGAAACTCTCGTTTATTGCTAAACAAAAATAGAGCCGATATGTGGACACTACATTATTGTCTATTAAACTATCACTAACGTTTTAATAGACAAAATATCGTAAAAGAATTCAAAATTAAGTAATAAGTTTATCGCTGGATTAAATATCAACGAGAACAAAAAAAAAGTCAAATAAACAAATCTCTGTACAAAAAATTAAAGGAAATGTTTAGTCCTTTTTGTACGTCTTTTATTTATATCATTGATAATTAATTTGATTTTTGTTCTTTATTTTTCTTTGTATTATAATCAATGATTGCTGCTTTGATTGCGTCTTCAGCAAGCACTAAATAAAAAAACAATAACATTATTATTAAAGTTCTCTATAAACAAAAGACTTTTTTTTACTTGAACAATGAAGTTTAACAGGTGGTAAACATAATTCTTTTGCAATATCTTGATTTTTTATCGAATTTGCTTCATTTACTGATTTTCCTTTAATCCATTCTGTTGCTAATGAAGACGAAGCAATAGCTGAACCACAACCAAATGTTTTAAATTTTGCATCAACTATTTTTCCATTCTCATCTACTTTAATCTATTAAATCAAAAAGAAAAAACAACAATGAATCTAATAATTGAAATAGAATAAAATCTCACTTGTAATTTCATGACATCACCACAAGCTGGTGCTCCGACAAGACCAGTACCAATATTTGCATCTGATTTATCAAATGAACCAACATTACGTGGATTTTCATAATGATCAATCACTTTTTCATGATAATTACGTGTTAACATATATCGTGCGTCCATACTAGCACTTATTAATGGACGTATTTTTGAATAAACTCTATTTGAGAGATTATATGCAGCCATTCAAAAATTTTAAATAATATTTTTATTTCTACAAAAATAAAAAAATTTTAAGAAAAATGAATTTTTTTTTCAATATAAACATTATCCGAAAAATTTTATTATTTTTCTATATTGAATAATCAGAAACTATGTCAATGCTTGCTAGGTCAAGAAACATAGGCCATTTCCGGCAGGAACCTATCAGAAATTCACAAACCAGATTCTTCATTACCTTAAAACCTCGATGAGAATAAAAACTACTCAAAAAAAAAACAAGACTAGTTATTATGTGATTCTTTACTAAAATAAACAAACACAATACGATAGACATAACAGAAAAAACTACTAGGCTATTAATGATCATAAATAAAAAGTATATGAGTGACCAAAGGCATAAAATTTAACATAGTAATGTTTATAAAATCATTGACCCTGGGTTTTCAAGAAGCTGTTTAAATTCTTGTAACCATTGTGCACCGATGGCACCATCAATAACACGATGATCGCATGATAATGTTACATTAAGAATAGATGATTGACGAAAACTATCACAGAAAAAAAAAGGAATAATAATTACAAAGTGAAGTTCTCCAACAGATAAATCACTTTTGAGTTGAGATTATGTATATTCAAATAAGCGATGAATACCATGAAAAGAGTTCGTACGCTTGCGATGAAACCGGCCGTTTAAGCTCATATTGACTTCACAAGGAGGTCAATTAGAAAAATCCTACAAGGGTTCGTGCCCAACAACCACTTTTTGGAAATTCACTATCTCGACAAAGAAACATTGTTTTCGGCTGAAATTTTCAGGATATTCTACATATTTATGGACGAAATTTCAAATCGAAATACGATTATTATATTTTTCAGGGAATATCTAAAACTGGATCGAAAATTGAATAACAAAGTCATAACTCGGCTTCAGAGATTGTTGGACACGAATTCTTTTAGGATTTTTCTAGTCGACCTACTTGTGAACCTAATATGAGCTCAAACAGCAGCTGTTAGGATTCGCGCTCATGAAGAGTGACGGGCATAGTTAAGATGTGTTTTGTTCTCTCTCTATTTATTCTTTGAGAACATAAACGTTTATATACGCATATGAAAATCAAGGACAAATAGGATGGAATACAAAGGTTAATCAAGGTCAAAGAAAAGCAACAGAAACGAAATAGCAGAAATGAAAATATCAAAAAATAGAGAATAAAGAGGATTGAGGTATATGTTGTAAGAATGCACTGTAACAGTGGATATCAGCTCGGGTAGTTCTTTCATTAGCTTATTGCTGCATAAATACTACACTTGTACGATATTTTTTAAATGAATGCTGTGATCCACATAAGGAACACCAGCAAAGCTGATTTTCGAATTTTCACTTGAAAAGACGTTGACATAAATGTTTTAGATGTTGTCACTATTCCTATCCTAAGATACGACTACGGTTCATAGTGTGCTTTTTACATCGTTCATAAAAACCAACAGACTTTATGTTTGTATTTTAGGATAGAAACAAATCAAAAGATCAAAAGCTTTCGTAATAAACTAGTGGCTTCGATGCAAAGTTTCAACTCGAAATTCAAAAATCATTTTTTTCTATTGCTATAATATTTATTTAAAAAATACCGTAAAAGTGCAGTATCTTCGTAGCAATAAGCTAAGAGTACAAAGTCTTTTTCATGATATTCATAGCTCATTTGAATCTACATAGTCTCGACTCAATAGCAATTTATCAGTTGGAGAAATCTTCTTGTAAGTAACATGAAAAAAAATAAATATTTACCCTTTTGGCGAATCTTGAGCGGGTATAATTTTTGTCTCAATACCACCAATAGCTAAAATAGCTGACTAAAAAAATTTGAAGATAACAATAGATTTTGTTTTTGTTTTTTTTAAATAAAATTTAAAAACTTACTTGTTGAGGATAAATAACAGCACTAAAATTAGTTACACCATACATTCCTAAATTAGAAACTGTGAATGTTCCCATCTAAAATTTATATCATGTAATATTTATAGAATATTCAATGTATTTTTTGTTTTGATTTACTTCAAGTTCATTATCACTTAAGTTTCCATCATTTGCTTTTTTACTTAATTGTGATAATTCTTGATTAATTGTTGAAAGACCCTAAATCAAATAGAAATTATTTCATATTGGAACGAATTCATTTATTAGTGATGTGACTTTTCAGATTTGTAATGTATTTATTTCTGAATTTTCAATCTTTCGAGAGCTAATTTTTATATGTTGTGTACATATTGAGTTGCTTTAGGTACCCGAAAGAAAAACCTCAGTTCTACAACCTTTTATGGAGACGAGTTATCACAAAAAAGTACGTTGATCCTGCTGAAAATGTTTCGTTTTCCCTAAAATTACTTATATCTACATATACAATCTCACCTTTTGATCAACATTATATAAAATAGGTGTTAAAAGTACGCCAGCATCTGTATTTATTGCTACATTAATATCCACTGTTTCGTATCTAATAGATATTGAAAAAAAAATGAATACATTAAGAAAAATAAAAGTCAAAGAATTTTACTGTCGAATAGATTTTTCCATCCAAATACTGTTTGCTTCAGGTCGTTTTTTACATGCAAGTGCAGCTGCTTTTATAATAAAATCATTTATTGTAATACCACGTGATTTATCTTTAGGATCTTTGGATTTCGATGTTAACATATCATTAAGTTTTTCACGTAATCTAAGAAATAATTGAATAGAAATAAAATAAATTTTAAATACAAACATACTTAAGAATTTCATTTACATCAACATCAATAGCTAAATAATAATGAGGTATTGTACTCTTGGATTCAACTACACGACGAGCATTTTCCTATAAAATAAAAAACAAAGTTTCTACTAAAATTCCAACACGAAGAAATTCGATTAGAAACGGAGATGAGATGTGATTGTAGTTTTTTGGAATCAAATTGAATAATTTTTCATAGTTGGATAATCAATTTCAATTTTAACGAATTTTTGAGAATTTCATAAAGTGTTTTATCTAATGTGGAGGACGAGAGGACGACGCACATGACAGAGAGTTAACATTGCCAAAGTTTAAATATTTGAAATAAACACATCTATGGTTAGAATATCATACTCTAAAATAAGATCTTCACAAGTCAAGTCAAATGTTGACAAAGTTCATTACAAAAAAATTCTTCATAAATCATTTCTATCATCAAGTTATGGCAATATTTTAAAATGAAAAATAGGCTGCAACTAAGCATTAGCTTATAAACTTCATTGGATAAAAAAATCATTTCAATTGAACTAGACATGGAATACAAAAAAAACCAGTGATTACTGAACCGAATGTCGCTCGAAAAATCGGTGATATTGTATTTTGTAAACGCGCAAAATGATTTAAGTCTGATTGTTCTCAAACTTTTGCGAGTTATTCTCTCCTGTTTGGTTCATTGTTGGCAATAGCGCCACACCGCACCGATGAGCACAGTCGGAGCTATGAGCCTCGCTAAAACCGAGGGTTTTATCCTCAAATCTCAACTTTTGAAAGCAGTGCATCATTTTGGTGCTTAATCAAAGTAATATTTGGAATCATCTAATTGCCCGGCATTTAACCATACATAATAAAGAGTGGCTTTTTTGAAAAAAGGTTGTTAACCGTTATGCTAAAAACTTTCCTTAAAGTTGGCGTCCGTGATCTTGTAAACGTTAAAATCAGCTAATATCCCTTCACATAAGATCTTGAGTCGGATATGGCCATTTAACATGGACTGAGTTATTGGTTCGAAAAAAAACTGTAGTTTTTTATTCTCAAACCTCTTGTTTGTTATTAAAATAATATCATAGCGGAACACGAAGGCAATATTTACAATTAGCGTGTGAAACTGCGTCGGACTATATTTTCTAACATAAAAATTTTTTCAAAAAAATGCGCAAGGATCCACCATCGGAAATTTTTTGCGAAAACTTTTTCTAAAAAAAAAGAATTTTTTTCTTTCTTAAAGATGATTTTTTAAATGATGTATGATCACTTCTGAACGATAAAAATTTTTTTCTGAGCACGAAAGTTGCCCACTGTGCGACACCTCTCCGAAGATTGAATTAGCCCTACTGATAATTTGTGGCTCTTGTACTACATATTCTCTGTCTAGATAAAACACTAATCATCATCGATCAGAAATATAAAATGAAAATATCGTGTAAATAATACTTTCGATTAATATATGTTTTCTACATTACTTACAGCTCGTAATTCTGATACTTGTTGTTCATCATAACCACCAGCGCGCGCTGCTGTTTCTTTTTTAGCTGCTTTTGTTGGAACTGCTTGTTTATCTTTTTCTTTTTTGGCAGCAACTTTAGCACCACCTTCTTTGATAAATTTTTCAATATCTTCAGCAATAACTCGACCATTTGGACCTGTACCTTGAACTAACTAAATGATATATTATGTTAAATCAATATAATATTGAACCAGTAAATAAATCTTTACTTCTAAATCGACACCTTTTTCTTCAGCAAGTTTTCGAGCAAAAGGGGATGCAAAAACTTGACCATCTTTTTTTGAACTACTAGTTGTTGTTGTTTTTGTTTTCGTAGTCGATGTTGTTTGTTGTTCTGTTTTACTAGTAGAATCACTTGGTTTTGTTGATTCTTTTTCTTTTTCTTTTTTTTCAGTTTTTTTTGGTGAAGTTGTTTGTTCATCTGAAGATTTCTTTTCTGCTGCTGTACCAGCATCTTCACCTTTATAATCTTTAAATGCAGCTATATCTTCTTGGTTTTCAACAATAACAGCACATAGCTTAAATATTGGATAATAATTGATTATTTAAATAAGAAAAAAAAAGATGAAATTTTATTGCATCTCACTTTTCCAACAGGTATATCTTTACTACCAGCAGGTATAATAATTTTTGCAAGATATCCTTCATCAATAGATTCAAATCCTAATGTTGCTTTATCAGTTTCAATTTCAGCCAATATATCACCTAAAAAAGAAAAGTTAAATTTCATATATTTTATTATAATTGCTTGAAATACCTTCAGATATTTTGTCGCCTTCTTGTTTTGCCCATGATCGTAATGTACCCGATTCCATAGTAGGTGACAATGCTGGTAGAGCAATTTTTTTATGCGATGGCAAACTGTCGGATGAAGCATATCGAATAGATTGATGTTGTCGAATAGTAGCTATATCATTTCGTGATAATGATAATAACCAAGCATTCATGCATAATGAACGATTCGAATCGACTAGAGATAGAGATGAACTAGAATAATAAAAAATGTTGCTTGGCTTTGTTTTTTATATTCCAATATTCTGTAAAGCATACTTATTGAGATTCAAATTTGTTCTATGAATATTTGTTGCATTCAATGTTGTAATATATCGTTTCAATGAATAATTTATTTTCCAAGTTGATGAAAAACGTTGTGCAGTAATGAACAAACGAGTACTCTGCATCTAGGTGTTTTCTTTTCTTTACATAAATATCCAAGAAACAAGAAAATCTAAAACAGCATAGAAATATTATTCTTATATAGAAGATGATAATAATGAAACAGAAAAAAAAACAGAAAAACAGTATATATATAAATAAAATTTAAGGTCGTGGATTAGCTGGTTTATAATGTGATATTAAATTTCCAATTGATGTACCGCGTAATTGTTCAGTTTTTTTATCTGTTTTAACCATCGATTTTGAAACAACACCTTTCCATGTTCGACTAGTTAACTAGAATAGATAAATATAAAAAAAATAAATAAATCGAAAAAAATAAAGATCATATTTTTACTTTAGAATTAAAATCAGTCCACCGTTTTTTATCTTTTTCACGTTCTTCTTCAAATTCTTTTAATTTTGCTATTTTTTTTTCTTTCTTTCGATGTTTAAGTTCACGTAAACGTTGTTCTAATTCACGCCTATTATAAACAATCAATCAATTCTTGAGTTGTTTTTTTCAAAGCATTCCTTACTTTGTTTTAGCTCGATTAGTAGCCGCTTTTATTCCATTGAAATCGGAACGTGTTCGATCAAATGGTCTTAATTTCGATGCCTAGAAAAACAAAAAAAAAAATACAATCAAATCAATTCTTTTTTCATATTATTAACTTACGCGAACAACAGTTAACGGTATTGAATCAAATCCATCAAAAACAATTGTACATGTACCATCATCAAGTACATCATCAATTGTACATTCATAATATCTAAATTGAAAAGATTATGTTTACTATAATAGATGATCAAAAAGTAATTTGATAAAATGTTCAATCATTTTTAGTATTTTAAAGAAGACTACAGAAATTTGAAAATATTGTTTGAACAGAAAAATTGACATTTCTCACATAGAATTAAAGACGAGATTATTCTCTACAAAGTAATATAAGAATCAAGAATTTCAGATCAATCATTCAGGAATGGTCGAGCTTATGAGGGAATTGTTCTAATTAATAAATAAATCATTTTTGAGTTCGGACTCTATATATAAGATAGACCTGAGTAATATATAAAAAATCACCAAAGGATGAGTGCGCTTAGCTGTTTCCCTGAGAGTTATAATCATTTTACTGGGAATTTAATTTATAGACAGGCCTAGTTGTAGATAGAATGTTCTGCAATTTTTAGTTCAAAAAAATGTCTCCTTCACAAGATGTTAAATTTTCAAAAAGATTCTTCATCAGATATGACTAATATTTGGGTATTCAATAACTCGTGAATGAAACATTCATGTGAACTGAAGATATTTAATTTCTGTAGATACTTTTAAGAAACTGAAAAATGAATGAATATTTTATTAAATTACTTTTCGATCACCCGTTATCAGCATCGTCTTGAAGTTCACATAAAATTTAGACTGAAGAATTTATGTTCCATCGAAAAACTAACTATTCGTTGATTTTCAACGATGAATCTACAAGTATGATTTAATAAGATTAAAAGATTTTGGAATTTCAAATGAGAAAATTTTCTGTACAATGAATCGTCTTCACATAATCTTGATCAAAATTTTTAACTTTTACTTTCATATGATTGATTAGAAAGTTTTTTCATATTAAAATTATATAGATAAAAACTTAAACTATTCTTCATTCGTTTAACATACTTTCCATCTTCATTCCATGGTGCTAAACAACGATCACCTGTTTTCCATTTAATAGCTGAACGTGTTGATGATGATGTTACTTGATTATTTGATTGTGATGAAGCAGAATTATACGTTGTTTCATTAGAATATAACGCTGATGATGTTGTTGGATCATTAGAATTTAATATTGATGGATCATAACCAAGTAAATCAGCAGTTAATTTAATAACTTCTTCAAGATCTTCTTTAAGTTTAAGTAATTCTGGATCATTCGGATTAGCTTTCAATGCTAATTCTACCTTAAAAAAATAAATAAATTAGATGTTAAATTTCAAAAAAAAAAATAATATTTACTTGTTCAAGTTGATATTTATATGCTGGTAAATTTAAGTCACCTGTATCCATTTATTAGTAAAATTATTTTGTTTGAGACGTAATAACGTGATGAAGATTCTTCGACTGATTTTTGATTGGTTTATTTTTTTTTTGTTTATATTTTGTTTCTAACGAGAAAAAGAATTAGTTTCTTCATCCATGATAAAACCTGGATAATTACAAAAAATAAAAAAGCAGCGGCATCTTTTTTAGTACTCAATACTTGAAATGAGCCATTTATATGAGAGATGCCATTCATTGTCTGAGATTTTTTAAATGTCCAAAATATTATTTGGATATAATTTTTTTAAAAATGTTTTCTGTTTAATAGTATTCAAGAATTTTTTCGAAAAAATGTCTATAATAGAAATTTAACTTGTGGCTCCTCTCTAAAAATAATTATTTACATGAGCCATTGGCAAAAAAAACAGAACACATCAACAATAGATCACTTTTACAATAACGACTAACATTGGCTAATAAAAATCAAAATTTTATTTACAAATTCTAGTGAGTCATACATTATTGGGTGGGTGTAATGAGATAAAGTCAGTATCTCAATACAATCGATGAGTCGAGAAGCTTTTTTTGTTTTTGTTTTGTTGTACCTGCTAGTATTTGTAGTAAAAAAGATACACTGAATGATTTTTTAGGAGGAAAATTATGTACAATTCAACCGATGACGAATTATTAAAAGTGAGAATATCATAATGAAATACAACAAGAGTGAATCATTGCATAAATTATACGAGCATTCATGATTTTCTGCTTCTCTAAATCGCTTCGTTTTTTTTTTCGGTTTGCTTTCCTTTTATTATTTTATGGTGTGTATTTTTTTTGTTTTCATCTTGCCATATACTCAAACATAGAATATGACTAACTAACAATAAAACAATTAATGATATTTTTTAGTAAATATTTATTTCTATTCTAGATCGACGATTGTATTGATACGTGGTCAACAAGAAGTAAACAAAAATTCATTTTTTTTTATTTTTAAATTATTATTTTTCTGTTTAATTTAGTGACAAGTGCAAGCGATTTTCAACGTTTACATAATGGTCTTTCAACTAATCTAACAAAGATTAGTACTAATGGTATGTTGAATTCATGATTACATTTGCTTTTTTTTTCTATTTATTATTTATTTCTTATAGTTTCGGATCTTGAAAAACTCGTCCAAAAATTAGGTACACCAGAAGATAGTGAACCATTACGTGAACGCTAGTAGGTCAAAGAAATAAATATATGTAAATTTCAACATTGTTTTTTTATTTTTATTTTAGTCATCGTCTTCAAAATGAAACAAAATTTTTAATGCAACAAACGAATGGTGCACTGCAAGAACTTAATAATACACGTGTATTAACAGAAGCTGATCAGGTTTGATTAAAATAAAAACAATGTAATATGAATATTTATTTAAAACAAAAACCATCTATTTTTAGAGACGTAAAAAAACGTTGACTGACAATTTACCAAAACAATATTTAGCAACATTAACTCGTTTTCAAGAGGCACAACGTATTGGTGCACGAAGAGAAAAAGAAAGTCTTGATCGTGCGCGAGCTATTTCATTTCGTCAACATGGAATGTCAGATTCACCATTTGCTGATGATTTTGTTTCAACACCAACATATGATCAACTTCAAAGACAAGCTGTTTTACCTATTGAACAAGAAGTTGATATGAGATCATTAAGAGAACGTGATGAACAATTACGTCAACTTGAGGTAAAAACAAATTTGAATATTTTAAAATGATTCAAAATTATGCCATACATACAAAGTTAATTGTTGTTATATTAAAACAGTATCATAACTTCGTATGGGATGAACATATCATAAATTAATGGATTTCTATTGAGCATCAAATCTGTTTCTATTAAATCTTAAATTTCAAATAATTTTTTTTTTTGTATTTCATATCAGAATTAAATTTCGTCCTTTGAACAAAAAAAAAAGCTGTTCGTGCGTTCTTTGTGGGATTAAAATATGAAACACTATGTAGCTGTTGTTGTCAGTTACACGAAGACTGCTTTATTCTATTCGTCTTGAGATAAATTTCTTCTGCTTGCTTTTATTTAACCCCCTTCGGAAATAGAATAAGAAAGTAGTTGATATATTGTAACAAGCCGTTATTGATATACTACTTATGATCGTGTATTAACAATGTCTGTCATAATTTGTTATGGTTTTTGGGCAGTGTCTGGAGTGGATGCAAATTTCAATCCTATAATATACTTCAACACTCCTGTTTTAGATCGTGTTATATGACAATAGACTTTGTGGACCAAATCTTAATTAGATATCTTATTAAACGAGTCAATCATCCTATTTCAATCCTTTTAAAATTCTACATAGTAACCAAAAAAGCTTTACTAAAACAATGCTTTTATCATTTAGACGAACATTATTGAAGTAAATGAATTATTCAAAGATGTTGCTAAACTCGTGCATGAACAAGGCGCTGTTATAGGTAAGTTGATTTACATTAAATAAAAGAAAGATAAATATGACAAGAACTAAGAGCTTAAAAGAAGAAAAAAAATATTTTAAGATACTATCCAAAATCATGTTGAAACAACCGTCCAATACACACAGCAGGCCACTCAACACGTTGCACAGGCTGTAGTTACTCAGGTGTTTTATTATTTCATATCGCTGCTGCTAATTGCTTAAATTTTTTGAACATATACAGATCAACTTCATTAATTAATAGTCTGTTTTTTTTGAAAGGATCATAGAAACAAAAAAAAAACAATAATAATTAATTAAATAATAATGCATGTAAACTAAAACTTCACTGCATGTTTCTAGACTCTATTGATGAACATATAATCAATACGGAAGTGAATATAACACATGGCAATCAACATTTAACAAAAGCTATGACTCATCAGGTTGATTTTTCTTTCAAAAATAAAAAAAAATTTTTTTAATTTATATTTTGCATTTATAATCTTTTTTATTATTTTTTAAATTTAAAGAGTTCTGCTCGACGTAAAAAAATCATATTGGTTACAATTTTGCTCATTGTTATTGCCATTATTGTGCTCGTTTTGGTTTTAACATTGAAAAAGTGATATTCAGATAGGTTTGTATTATATATAAATCTATGTATTCAAATCAATTTATGACTTTCATTTTTCTTTAGAGACATCGCACTCATATGCACTTAAAATGTTTTATGTGTGTTATAATAACAACTATTTTATTCTTCTTCATTATTATTAATATTTAAAATAAAAACAGAAGTTATTTTTTTCTTTTTTTTTCCATGCACACACATATATATATGTATTCATATTTATTTTATTTTATGCAGTGCAATTGTCTCAAAAATAAACAATATAAAACAATTCGGTTTTTTTCTTTTCTTTAATATGACAAATTTTATGTTGTATTCTGCTTTAGTACTCATCAGTTTTTTTTTCTTCTTTCATTTTTCTTTTTGTAATCTCTGTTGGGTATCTCTACGTTTCATTTTCTTTTCACATATAATTTGGCATATAATTGCATGTTTATTTATGTATGAATGTTGTCATTGTCACGACTGAATAAGAAAAGAAAAAGGTAAAAAAAAAAACAACAACGTAAAAAGTAATGCAAAACATTCATTCTATTTGATTTATCTCCACAGTGCGATATTTTCTTTTCTTAAATAAAACAAAAAAAAAACACACACACACGAAAATGCTGTTACGTCTTTGGCATAATTTACAATTATTTGAAAATGCACTTGCTGATCATAATGAATATAGAATGTATGCAACGATTGTTACAGAAGGTGTGTAGAAATTTTTATCTAAATTGACTTAAAGCAAGCTTTGTTTATTATGAAACTTAAACAGATTGGTGTATGGTAAGATAATGATTAGAAAATTTTTCTCAGTCAAGGTACAGAGGATGAAAAAATTTTACCCTGAAAATGATAAAATTATTTTTGCTCAGATTGAAAGAAGAAAAAGAACAAATACTCTTCTCTTTCGATTACCTTGAGATATAGGATGCTACCTAGCAATGAATTCAATAGCTCAATGCCTTCCATATAAGTATGACTAGTTGTGACTTCAGATAGAAGGTTGACCTGACGCAGAGTTCTTGAGCTTTCCATACATACTAAATATCCATAAGATCAGGTGTATGTTGCAATGTAGTCAGCATGCTATTGGGCGGGTGTTCTGAGACAAATAGTCGTTAGTGACTTATCAAGGTCATTTCATAGCTGACGATACCAAATTTTGAACATAATACGTTATGGAGACGTATCAAACAACGTAGTCACCAAACCATGGCGACTTTGATGAGATTGACACTAAAAACACTGAAAGATAATAGTTCCGGATTGGTTCTTGTGCTGAATTTTTTTTTTCGTTGTTTGACGTTGTCCACTTAGCATACATCATTGGTTATACAAATAAAAGAAGAAGACAGTAGGATGATAATACGAAAAAAAATATATCTTTCGAAATTCGACTATTTTTCTATTTATTAAAATTAGGACTCAATTTTGCAATGATAGAACCTAATAGTAATAATAATTCTGATCAAAGTATTCTTGATATTGATACAGTAAGAATATTACCTATGTCACATAAATATAATCCATCAAGTGTACATGCTGGTCTACTTATTTATTCTGTTGATGGTCAAACAGATTTTATTTTAAATGATGCTATGTTTCGTATGAAAACAGGTGATATACTTATACATCAAATTCATCATGTATTTTCTGGACCAAATGCAATTGATGTTTATCGTGATTTAATACGAACATTATTTGGTACACATCGTATAAATCTTATCGGTTTAGTATTTACATTTAGTGGTGATGGGCAATTTACTAATTGTATGAGATGGGGACCAATACCATCTCAACATACAACACCAATACATCCAACTGAACAAAAATTACTTGAAATTCTACTTGTTACATTTTATATGAATCATACGTGGTTATCAATGCCAATTGCATCACATATTGATATGGAAACATTATCACAACTAGGTAAAAAACAATATCTATCAAAATTAGCTGAAATAGAACAATTATTTCATAAACGACGACAACAACAAGAAAAACATCATTATTTACAATTATCGAATTTATTAAAATTAGCTCATCATTCATCAGATAATTTTCGATTATTTGAATGGACACCAAATAGACAACAACTATTTGATGATACAATTCGACGTTTACTTGATGTATTTTATAATCTTATTTTACAAATATTTGAAGAAGGAGAATTTGATAGTGATCAATATATTTATTTTAATGATAGTACACAACAATTATTTTCAAATTTAGCTCATAATTATACACCAGTAACACCTGCACAAAATTATTATTGGCCACAACAACAATATTTGTAAACACATTAAATAACTCGTTATATGTACATATATATATATAAATATATTTATACTATTGAAGGTTAAAATAATGGAAAAAGAAAAAGTATCTTTGTTTTTTTGCCAAGCATACTATTCATTTTCCTTTTGAAATAAATTTTAAAAATATTATGAAAGACGAATATTAACACATAAATTGATATTGAGTACTGGTATCGAGTCAGAATTAAGAAAGATGAACGAAATATCGTTTCTATTCGAAATATAATTGTTAGATTATTTTTTTTTCATTAGTGAACTAAATCTGATGTTCGATAATTTGCAGCTTTCAAATTATTCTAATACACGATAAAACTTGGTCATTAAGTAATAGTAGTTATATTATACATCAACAGTCAATAGGTTTTTTTAGAGCTAATCCATGAGAGGAACAAGAAACTGAGGTACTGGTTAAAATTTAAAGTTTTAATTGTCTATGTGTATTAGAATGGCCAACATCTAAAACTACCAAACCCTAATTCTATTTACTCGAGTTATATAATCCAACATGAGTGAGAAAGGTGATAATTTCATAATGGTCGATGTTTGCCAGTACATTTGTTGTCGTTTTTTGCAATCAAAAGATGCCAAGCTGTGTAATTTTTTATTCTCTACAAAATGGTAACAAAATTCTGAAAAAAGAAAGTATATCTTCGAGATGAAATGGGGTTCACATCTCTCTCCCACATAATGATTTTAGATGATTTTTCAATACAAAAAAAAAACATTGTTAGCTGTTTTCATTGCTGCGACGCAGTTCTAAAGCAAAATAGGTATGACATTCGGAATCAGCGCCAAAAACTACGTCGAATCAAATACATTTTAGTGGAATCTTTTTTCTCCGAAAAAATAATTCGTGGGGAACTACAAGGCAAAACTTTAATGAAATAAAGTCGTGGGAATCACAGATGATTTTTTCACAGCAAAAATAATTCTCTAAAATGTATTTGACTCGATGTAGTTTTTTGACGTTGATTTCGAATGTCAAATTTATTTTGCTTTAGAATCTCATCATAGCAATGAAAACTGCTAAAAGTGTTTTTTTTTTCTGTTGGAAAACCATCAAAATGTACTATGTACGAGAAAGGTGTGAACCCCATTTCGCCCCGAATGTTAACTTTTTCTTTCAGCATTTGTTTACCATTTTGTAGAGAATAAAATGTTACATAACACATAAAAAACTCAGCTGGATCCCTGTTGCTTTAAAAAAATACCAGTAGATATACTGTCAAGCATCGACCATTATGGACTCGTAAATTGTTATCTTTCTTACTCATGTTGGACTATATAACCCCAGTAAATACAATTTGAGTTTGGTGGTTTAAGACGATGGCATTTCGAATGCACATAAAAAACCAAAAATTTAAATATTGACCAATGTCTCGGTTTCTTCTTCCTCTAATGAACACTCTCTTAACGTTTTTAGAAATACAATAGTCATCACAATTATCCAACCAGCAGATAATTTTAATATATTTCGTGTATATCTCAAAACCTAGATGTGCTAGAATGATTTGGTTTTAATCAGATTACAGTCCATAGTCTCTAATAGACTGGTGAAAAATTTCAGGTCATTCCATTAATTTGTTTAATTTTTACTGACAATACGATCGTAGCATGCTTGTTTTCATCCTTCCAAAATTATCGAAACAATTGTTTTTTTCAAACTAAAGCACCCCTTTTCTAAGTTGCAATTTCCTTTATAATACATGATTCAATAGAATAAATTGTGTTGCACGTAAGGAGTATTCTTTATCATAACTTTTCTTCCAGTATGAGTTTAAAAAATAATGTTTTTTTGATTTACATTGTAAATTTTGAACACAAAGGCGATAAAAAACTTTTTATCGCATAATGCTTAGTCAATTTATTGTTCAATATAGCATTAGCAAGAGTACTGCAAATTACATGAGATATTTTAATGTTGGAAAATTGAGTTAGTCGTCTTGTATGTATACGCCATTGTACGATCTCATTCACGTATTGAAGAAGGGATCAAAAATTTATTTTAGCAGTGTGGATTTGTAGGACATTTTTTTTTGTACAAAGCTCTTATATTTGAAATCAAAGTCGATCATATCACTTTAGTTATATACGTTGATAACGCATGAGTAAAACAGCTTACCGTAGTTCCAACAACAGTCTAAATGGAGATTTCATTAAACGTACAGCTGATTTTTGCGCGTCAAATCTATGTAGATAGAGAATGAAATTTAGAACAACGTGCTATGTTAAGTTTTATTTGATACATTTTCGTTTGATAAGATACACATCCAATCTGGTGTTGAGACTCCGATAAAATTTTTTAGTCCTGCATAATTAAGGTATATAACTTAATTGATATGATTACTTTTGATTGAAAATATAAGAGGTTTGTACCAAAAAATATTTTCTACAAATCTATGCTTTTAATCGAATTTTTCATTGCTGTATTGTGTTGTAGTGAAACTCGTAGAGTAAAAAGATATTCAAAGCTTCATTAATCCTCTGTTTCAAAGATAATTCAACACTTTGTTTTTTCATTGTGCAAATATTTGCATAGATTTTTTTGTCTTTTGCTTCTAATTTTAACTTCAATCAGTTGCAATTTCGAAAATTATATTCTTTATTGAGGAAATAAAAATATAAAATTTCTGTCTGCTGAAGTCGGTTTTTTTGAAAAACTTTGATGTTTACGATACAATAACAAGATATTTTAATGTTACAATATGAATATTCGTGTGTCATATTTTTTCCTCGCGACATCTTTTTTCTTCTATAATTGTAGCTTAACTTAGCTTTTGTACATGGGATATTTTATTAATTTCTATTTATCTTATTTATAATAAGCTAGTAACTATTTATACTAAAATAATTCTGATTTTGAGTAACGAAGATTTTGAATGGATCTTCATTTTTGTACAAGATATTTATTTTTATTTACCATACGACAATCATTTTTATGGTATAGTCTGCAACGATTCATTCAAGCAAAACGTACAACATGGACCTGAATATGCATGCAAGCATAGCGCTCACCTGATTTTTTTTCTCGTTTAATCATATTGTAATTGGTTTGAATATACTTTCGTTCTTACAAATGGAAGTTATGATTGAAAATATGTGAGCATTGCTTTTTCCTTAATGTTTTTATATATGATTTACCTTTTATCAAGGAGAGCACGTGCGTGTAGCTTTTTCAAATCTCGATGTTACCTATCTCCTAGTGCATCATGCTTTGCAACAGTATTTGTATGGAAAACTTTTTCTTTTGTTTGCAGCTAGTTTAAGTTGAATCATATATCCAATGAAAGCTATCTCTTTCTTCTATCGTATGAGAAAATATTTGTTCTATTCGTTTAGATGGAATTCTTCGCTTGTGTACACAAGGTAGATATACCAAGGGGGAAGCATCATACTTTTGTACTTTAAAGCACGTAAAGTACTTTAAAATACCTTAAAATACTTTCAAGTACTTCAAAATACTTTAAACTTCATTCAAGTGCACAGTACTCGTGAGTACAATAAAATGTCGTTTGCGACTGATATTTGATTGATTTTAATCAGAATAGTGACTTTCTAAAAAAAAAAAGAGATGCTTTAAAATCAGTATAAAAGATTGAATCAATCTATATTTGTCACCAAATCCTTCGAATCTGAAAGTTCAGTCTGATCTTTCTCAGGGTTACCACAAAAACTAGAGTCAGCCAAACTTACGTTTTGACTGTGAAAAATCGTTTCTAAACATCGTTAAAAAACTATGAAAATCCGAAACAACAGATGAATAAATAATAAAAACGCTGTTTTGACTGAGTTTATTTTTTCACGTAAGACTAAGAGAGACTAGGGCTGAATTTTCAGATGAAAATAAATGTCGTCAGAGAATTTTGTGATAGATAATATAGATCAACTCAATCGTTTATACTAGCTTCAAAACATATCTTTTTTTTTCGTTTCAAAGTCTAACTATTTTGATCAAAATCAGTCAAACGTCAGTCAAAAAGAATATTTGTTTCGTAGTTACGAGCATTGTGAGTTCGAATGAAGTGTCGTATCGATAAATTAAGGTCCATACGATAGTCTCATTTTGTTGAGCTTCGAAAGAAGTATCGAATGATTTATAATTTAAAATAGATGGTTGGTTTCAAAACACAATCAATAGTTTTTCATACTCCTATATATCATCCGATAAAGGAAACAGAGAGAGCTTTGATTGAATATATAATTCAAATTAAAAGAGCTGAAAACAAGCGAAAAAATTTCCATACGAACACTGCTACATAGCATCACACAGTTGGGAATAGATAATATTGAATTTTGCGTCAGTTGCATGTAGCTATAATGAGATTTAACTGTCTAATTCGATCTGAGAAGATTGATACCATTTGTATTGACTATGAGAAAAATAACACACTCAATGTCGCAAGAAAGTCAAGTTGATTATTTAACGGGATCCTCCTGTAAACATTCTTAGTGATATATTTTGCTGTGTTACCCTTCTAAACGAAAAGATAAAAAAGCAATGCTAGCATATGTACATATATAAATATCGGAATTAGCTTTACTAGACAGGCCAGTGCTGCGTCTATCACCAACGAAAATTCCATATCAAACTGTTTTAGTTTGTCTGATTTATAGGATATTCTTTTGATAATCTTCACATAAGAATTGATGGAAATCATCGAAAAGTGACCGATATCTGCAGCTATTTTTAACCATTAGCTTTGAGCTTTTCTCTGGTCAGTACCCTATTCTAATCAAGTTTCCGTGTCTCAAGGTTACAGCGGATTGAAGTAGCCTGTCTGTGACACAATATTGGCATGCAAATCTTTATTTGCTAATAAAATAATCGAGGTTAAAGTATATAAAAGATGAAAGACCAGGAAAGTGTCATAAAAGCCGTTCTTGGGTCCTAAAGAAAAAAATCAGTGTTTTTTCCTAAACCCTTTGTATGAAAGCCTATCGACTTCAGATTGCTGCTTACGATCATGATTTACCAAGCTCTATTTGTAATAAAAATATCAGGCAAACGGATTGAAGTTTATGTACTTTTTACTCGATAACGGAACTTCTTGCGACTACTGTATGTTAAATGTGTTACTATTAGATGATTTTCATAATATGTGTTAGTTGATCTTAATAAAAACATAATGTAAGATAAATGATTCTTTTCAAATTAATATTTTTAGATTATTTAAATTGGATTGTTTTTTTGTTAGTTTAGAATATTCAATGTGGAATGTTATCATTTAGCAAAGGAAAGTTATGAAAATTACATTTTGTAAAATATTTTTCTTTTGAGTCTTTCTTTCTATTGCTTACAAAAAAAGCTGTTAGCGCAATCCCTTGTGGGAATAAAAATATGAAACACGATGGATCTATTGTCACTAATTAAATGGAAATCGTTTTGTTCCATTTCTACAGGATAGATTTGTAGCTTACCGTTTATTTGATGCTTCAAAACTACAGTTTCTCTGTCATGGCCTGTGATGGTCTCTGGAAGTTCTCTGTCACGGCCTGTGATAGTCTCCGAGGGTTCTCTGTTACGGTCTGTGGAGGAGGGGGAGTGGATCCAAAATTTCTACCCTATACACTTCAACACTCCTTTCAGATCGTGTTTCACAAAAAGGTATCTTATAAATACTGATTTTTAATCTATTCATCATTCAGAATGGAGAGACAAAGTGTTCAAAATGATAACAAACGAGATCCGAATATCCATATGAATACTCCTGATCAATCATCTATGTCGCAAGATTCTACTGTGGAGTTGTGGACCACGACAGAAAAATCTCATCCTGAACAGGAGACAGTTCATATGATACCACTGGAGAAACTTTTTCAACGCTTTCACACTAATCCAACGACAGGTTTAGCATCAAATTTCATACTAGATGCTCGCACACAATATGGCGACAATAAACTTACACCACCTAAACCACCAAATTATTTTTGGCTTTTATTTAAACAATTATTTGCAGGTTTCAATAGTATTCTTTGGTTTGCTGGCATTATCGCTATTCTAGCTTATAAATCATTTGGTGCAATTCATCCAGATCCATCAAATTTAGCATTGGGTATTTTAATATTTATAGTCATTATTTTGAATTCAATCTTAAATTCTTATCAAGAAATTAAATCAATTAAAATCGTTACATCATTTTCAAAATTATTACCAACATTAGCAACTGTTCGACGAGATGGAACAGAACAACAAATTCTTACTGATGAAATTATTCCAGGTGATATTATTCTCATTCGAATGGGTGATAAATTACCTGCCGACTGTCGTTTCATTTCTTGTGATAATCTAAAAGTACTTAGTCTTTTTTTCTGTTTTCTTCTTATCAAGTTTTTATATTATCTTGATTTCTATTGTCTATTTAGGTGAACACATCAGAATTAACAGGTGAATCAATACCAGTTTCGATTACAGTTCAATATACTAGTATCAATTTTATGGAAACAAGAAATATTGGATTTTATTCATCAATGGTCGAACAAGGAACAGGTGAGGCAGTTGTTATTGCTACAGGTGATAATACTGTATTAGGTAAAATGTCAAAATTAACTCGAAGAAGTACAGGAGATGAAATTACTGGTCTACATCGTGAAGTGAATCGTTTTATTTTATTTGTTGTACTTATTACATTAACGGGTATTGCTGTCTTATGGATAACATGGGGAGAATGGTTGAAACATCATCATCCTGGATTTATTTCGTACAATGATAATATCGTTAATACGGTTGGTTTAATCGTTGCTTTCTTACCAATGGGATTACCATCTGCTGTCACATTAGGTAAAGATATTAAGATCATATTTATTATATATAGTTAGTTAAGTGAAGAAAAATGTCAATATTCAAAACAGTTTGTTCCACACAAATTTGATCACTTCATCATAACACTAATAAATAGATACTTAGTGTTTGAGGCTATATGATTCTGATATGAAAGACTAGAAAGAATACTTACCAAAATTAACATAAATCTAAATACGGAAGCTGGACAATTGCTCACAAGGGTGTGAATGTAGGTTTAGATGAAGGAAAGACGCACATCCACTTTCGTCACACTCCACAGACACCTTTCTCACACCGACACTCTGTCTCAAAGTCTAACTTGAAAGGAAGGTCAATCGAGAACTATTTGTAGTAGATGAAACCACATAGTTTATATTGTATACTCTATTTTTCCTATTGTTTAGTACTAACTATTGTCGCCAAACAAATGTATCGACAACATGTCTTGGTCAAAAGTTTACAAATTGTTGAAACATTCAATTCTGTATCTGTTATTGCTACTGATAAAACAGGAACATTGACACAAAATAAAATGACTGTAACTCATCTATTATGGGATACTGATTGTATTTATGATGTTCCCATGCCTCAACGAAAAGCAGAAGTCGAAAATACTTTCTTTCGAAGAATTCGTGCTGTTTCATTGGATGCTATTAAAATGGCTCGTCGTCTATCTGATAGTGTGTATAGGCTAGCACGAGAATTATCATCCAGTAGTCGTGATGAATCTGAGTGTATACCTTTGGTGGACAACAATGCTGAAAAATCTGATGAACCAAGTGAAATTCGAATACAAGCATTTCGTGATCTATTACTTGGTGCAGCACTTTGTAACGATGCCGATAAACAAATAGCAAAAGATGTTGAATTCGATCATAATAAAATAGAAACGAAATTGAAATTAAAACTTGTTGGTGATGCAGCTGATACAGCTCTCTATCATCTTTGTGTTGATCAATGTTCTGTTGATATTAATAAAGTACGAAATGTCAATCCACGTTTGAAAGTTTTACCATTTAATTCATCAAATAAATTTATGATCTCAGCTAATCAACTTGAAACATTAGATTTTTCAATATCAGAAAAAGATCGTACTGTTTTAATAATTTTGAAAGGTGCACCTGATATTGTTATTCAACGATGTTCAACATATAAAACGAACGATAACGAAATTTTGTCATTAGATTCTGAAGTAAAAAATGCATTATTTACTCGACAAGAAAAATTAGGTGAAAACGGTTATCGTGTTATGGCTATGTGTCAACAAAAACTTTCTCGGCAACAATATGATAATATGATGGAGAAATATAACGCAAGGAAAGGATCATCAGTATCCGAAGAAAATGAAGATCTAAATGGATTTCCATCAAATGATTATTGTTTTATTGGTCTTTTCTCCTTACTCGATCCATCTCGATTGGAAGTACCTGATGCGGTTTTAAAAGCTCGTCGAGCACAAATTCGTATAGCTATGATTACTGGTGATCATCCAACAACAGCAAAAGCTATCGCAAAACAAGTAAATATTTTTACATCTGATATTACAGATACAAATGGTATCGATACATTTAAAGTAGAAAAAAATGAGGATGGAAAATTTATTTTTAATCTATATCGAAATGATAAATTAATTGAACAATATGAACCACATACAAAGAAAAAAGATGATTTACAATCAAAAAATATTAAACATTTGACAAAGCAAATATCAACCGAATTCGATAAATATGAAACACAAGAAAAACCATGGTATAAACGTGTATGGTTATCATTTCGAAATCGATTTAAAAAATCAGAAAATGAAATTGATCTGACAGTTAAAAAAGAATATATTCCATATGCTATTATTATTGCCGGTACTGAAATAAATTATATGGATGATTTTATGTGGGATTGGGTATTATCACATCAAGAACTTGTTTTTGCACGAACATCACCAGAACAAAAATTATATATTGTAAAAGAATTTCAACGACGTGCTGAAATAGTTGCTGTAACAGGTGATGGTACGAATGATGCACCTGCTTTGAAATGTGCTAATCTTGGTGTTGCTATGCAATCAGGTACAGAAGTATCAAAAGAAGCCGGTGATATGATATTATTAGATAATAATTTTACATCGATTATTCGAGCCATTGAAGCAGGTCGATTATTAAGTGATAATTTGAAGAAAGTTGCTATTTATCTCTTACCTGCAGGTAAATTATTTATGAGGATTCTCCTAAAAACTCTAACTTAAATAGGGTATATGAAATATCGATGAAATTTTGCATTACCGCTCAGAAACTAAGCTGCAAAAGAGGGCTTTTATGCGGACAAATTTTTTATCAATATATTTCAAGCTGCAGAGATCGGTTCGCTTTCATTTGGAAGAAAACCCCTTACAACTTCCAATGAGAAAAAGGATTTTGTTTAATTTTTACTCCATTTCATTTTTCAAATAATCAAACCTTCGAGAGTCTCGAAAACTAAGACTTTATCTAACATTGACGATTAATTAGAAAATCCTTTTCCCTCATCTGGTAGGCGATACATACATCTATCGATTAAAAAAACACAGCTCTCCAGAATGAAGTATATTGACAAAAAAAAAATTTGTTTACAGTCCAATCATCATCGAAAAAACTCAATTTTGAGAAAAACGTACAAGAAGTTTTTCTTTCATTTAATCTTCCCATTATTACTTAGAATGGAGGTGAAGCATAACTATACTACATGTCAATCGAACTACTTATCCGAGCACATTAGATTACCCTCGTAATAGATACCGGAGATGGAACCGATCTGAAAAAAAAAGATTTGAGTGGCCGGTGTACCGAACGGCTTAAAATCCGCACCAGCACTGGACCGCCGTTACCACTTCTAGCTATGATACAATATGTAAAACACAAAAAAATTATAGAATTGTTTATGCGAAAGATATTCAAAATTTTTTTTTGTATAATTTATTTTCGTGAAATTTTAACGCAATTTCATTGTATATTTAGTGTATGGCATCAACTAGGATCTAGAAGAACATTGCACGAGTCTCGATTAAAAAAAGAAGAAAGTAGAAAATTTAGATCGGTAGACCGATAAGATTAGTAAAAGACTGGTAGGCCGGCCGATTGCCAGTACCGATTCCATCTCTGATAGGTACATCACGGTAGACAATGCTACTTACCATTACCCTTATATTTGCTATAGCATTCAACAACATAATAAAGATAGAAAAATAATAAGTTAATTTTTTAAATTAACTTATTGCCTTACAGGTTTTTTAAAGACTGATATTGATGGTTAGTCGTTACTAATAACTCGTAACAAATATGGTATTGTATTTTATATAAAATATCTACTTTGAGGGTGTCGATGAGGGCGAAAAGAAGGAAGAATACCTGTACCTTTTGCTATCGAGTGTGGCCTAGCGGCAGGTTCAGTGGCTCGATATCTTTCCTACAACTAATACTAGCTGTAACACTGGATAGAAGTCTAGTCTAATTCAGAGTTCTTGTATTCAATTGTTTGAGCTCCCCATACACACTAACTAACTACGTATTAGCACAAGAGCAGATGTATGTCGCAACATAGTCAGTATGCTATCGGATGGGTGGTCCGAGACAGACAGTAATTAATGACTTGCCCAAGATCATTTCATGGTTGGTGATACCAAGCTTTGAACACAGTATTTTGTAGATTCGTATCGAACAACATAGTCTCTCAGTCATGACGCTCTCTGAATGAAGAGAAGATCCACATCTACATCCTCAAGTCATTGGAAATCTCAAAAGTATGTCTCTAAGATGCTCAAGATTTGATTACCATTGAAAAATGTTTGTTTATTTTATAGATCTAACTCTACAAACAAAATTTTTGCTAATTGCTCTAGATCTCATTATTTATTCATATAGTCTCAAGGATCATTCATAAAATTCCCTAAACCATCGAGAATCAAAAATATTTTTATGAATTCGTACACTAGGCAACTTAGGAAACATGTTTGTGTGTTTATCACAAAAGACGAGTTTTCCAAACTGGGAGGTCGCCTACACTGCCTATCAAAATACATGTTTCACTTCGTTATTTGTTCTAGGTAGTTGGTCACAAATTTGGCCAGTCTTTTTCTGTTTATGGTTTGGTATACCTTTGGCGTTGCCTGCTTTCTATGCTACAGTTTTTTGTATGCTTAATGGTATGTTTCAAAGATTTATTTTATTCTTTGATTCAATTCTCTTTTTGTAGATGTTTTTATGTCACTTGCTATGGTAGCAGAAAAAGCAGAATGTGATATTATGTCACGTCCACCTTCAATACGTTCAAAAGATCATTTATTAAATTGGAAATTACTTCTTCATGCTTATATGTTTGTTGGTAATTTAGAATGTTTTACAGGATTTTTTTGTTTTTGCTATTATTGGATTGATAATGATGTTCCTTTCTATTCATTTATGTTTACTTATGAGAAATTTGGCATTGATCCTGTAACTCCATATTCCATAGAACAATTGACTAAAATGACATATGTTTCTCAATCAATATATTATTGTTCACTTTGTCTATTTCAATTTTTTAATTATTTTGCAACACGTACAAGATATGCTTCAATTCTTGAACATAATCCATTTTGGGGTAAAGGTCGGAATTGGTATGTGTTTGGTGCTATGAGTATATCAGTTGGTATTCAAATTCTTATAACAAAAGTTAAATGGTTTAATCGAATTTTTCATACGGCACCGGTACCAGTAAAATATGTAATGCCAACATTAGGATTTGGTATGCTATGGTTAATAATTGATGAATTAAGAAAATATCTTATAAGAAAATTTCCAAATAGTTTTCTTGCAAAAATTGCTTGGTGAACCTAATAATTTATTGATCGCTATTGTGTAAAACTTTAAAAAGAAAAACAAAATGTATTCTTAATATGCCATTAAATAATTCATGGTTTATATATTGTCTCTGTTGTTTGTCAAATTTATGTAAAATGATTAAGACGTAATAACAGTTGATTCTAGTGATTTCTTCTTACCACTATTTCATTGTACTAGAATTTTCTCTAATACTGTTTTCCTTCATTCACTGGGTTTTTTTTTCTTTTTTTTCGTTTGTATGTTCTGATGTATCATTACGTACGAAATTCGAATATATACATAACATATTTTGTATGATATTGATTTGTTCTTTCTTCTCTTTTCTCTTCTAGCGTATACCACCAGAAAAAAACAGTCAAACTCTGTAATTTGAATATATTTCCACTATAAAAACACATTTTGTTAAAAGTAATTACATATTCTGAAAGGCTGTGGGGTTTTCTATTACTCTGTATAATTAGATTTTAGTTTAGACTTGTTCATTACCAAAATAAATTGAATGCAATGAAGGCACCCTCATGTCCAGATTCCAACAAACTTGATTTTGTTAGTATCGTCAAAATTAGTTTTTGAAATTTTTCATCACTACAGAATCTTCTTTTGAAAAAAGCAATTATATCTTCTGATAGAGCTTGAAATTCTCTATCATCCTCTATATTTACCTATTCTCTTATATTTATTTAATTAAAACAAAATTCAAACACAGTCAACACGCCGTGAATCGATAAATACCGAAACTCTACATTCTTCCTTGCTTCTGAAGTTTTCTTTTTGAATTTATTATACCTATTCAAACGTTTTTTCAAAGATTAATTATAACTTTTGATAGAGCTTGAAATTCTCTACTATCTTATGTATTTTTATCTTGCCTGGCATAGATATCCTGCAGAATAATTGGAGTATTACATAGACATGCTCCATGGCAAGCTCAAGAAAGAAGCATCACTTCTTATCATCTGTACCATTTTTTGCTTCAAAGGTTCATCATGATACAGAAACTCAAGCTCTCTCAGAAAATATAAAGCTTGTTCAAAAAGCTATTCTTATACTAATAATCACGTTGGAATGAAAGGAAAACTGTCATAAAAAAAATTTAGCTTTCTAGGTTTCTTACGGAGATTACCGATGTAATCTCCAAAGCATTCCTCGCCGCATTCACAGAAAAATACATCGAAAGATCAAAATACATAGGATGATACACAATTTCGAACTCTATCAGAATCTATAATTACATTTTCAGAAAATCTATATTCATACTCACCATATTTTGAAAAAAACGCACAGTAACGATAGATTTTGCTATTCATTAACTAAAGATGTTTCCATTGTACTCAAATTACTTTTCAATAAATGAATGTAAGAAAATAAAAAAACATACAAGCCAACAGACAATTTCAACCTATGTCAGAAGCTATGATAATTCCTAATAAAACGTAACTATATAGCAATCAAAAGCTTACAAACTAATTTTTGATAACAGCGATACAATCAAGCCCGAGCCATCAGGATAAGGGAATGTCTTCATTGCACTCAATTTCTTCTAAGAATGATTACATATAAACTAAAACCCAATTATATAGGCTGATAGAAAACTTCCCGACCCTCCATAATATGTCACTACTGTTAAACAGCACGTCTTTCTACAGTGAATATATGTTTAAAATCCAGAGTTTGATTACTTTCCGATGAAGCACACATGTACTACTAAATAAGCAAAAACCAGCAACATGAAAAAGGAAATAAGCATCAGTACGTTTGAATTGCTATTCGTTAATATTTATTTTTTAAACTTTCGCTATTTGTCTCTTGTTGAAATTCTTCAATCATTCTTATTATTGAATGAACGTTTCTCAAGAATCGTCATGTATGAGTATTTATGTCACATTCATATTGGTGATAATATAATGTCATTATAAATGTTCAATAATCTTTGTTAAATTATCTTGAAATTAATAGGACAACATGTTATCTTCTTATGTATAATATTAAGCTACGTTGCTGTCGGTGGATAAGTATTCATTTTATTCTCTCTCAAATTTCATCAGACAATATTACTTCATCCTTTTCATCTAATCAATATAAAACTAGATGAATTTGATAAATTATTATGTAATCATTTAATAAAACAAATATATACTTTGTTAATTGATGTAACACCATCTAATCCATTCAACTATATTCAAGTTAAAGTTGAAGGAATTTATCTAACTAAGGTAAGTAAACAAATATTCTTTTCAATTCATTATAGAATTCCGATTTTTTTCTCTGATAACAAAAAAAACATAAAGAATTTTAATATAATGATAGGAAATTTAATTTTTGTATATCTATAAAAGTTATGTTCACAATTGCTTCTTCTAGAGAATTTGTTGATTTCGATTTAATCTTAATCATGGAAATGTTAATTAATTAAGAAAATATTCATTAGAATTACAATTGATTTTACCAAATCTTTTCAATACAATTTATCTTCATACATTGACTATTGATATGCATACATCATACTTCTTCAAACGTCTATTAATATGTATACCGTTTATTACAAAATCTTTCTTTTAATGTAAATGATCCATTGATGAATGAGAACAAGAGCCTTGATATAAACTCGTAAGAAACATTCTATTATCTGTAAAACCATCACTAATATGAATCGTTTTAGATTACCT